TTTGGCGGGTCCGGGCTGCGGATTCGAACCCGCCACCTTAGGTGTACGTGGCTGGCGCCTTAGCCGGTTGAGCTATAGGCGCCGAGCCGTCATCATACAATTTTCTATAATATTCCAGGGCAAACCGGAGAATTTGGCAGTCCGATTAGGGGGTCTCCTCAAAGACCCACGGGCTGGTGGCACGGGTGTGGAGTGCCCGGGTTCACAGTGCAGCTTGTGGCTCATGTCCACCTTAGAGGTGTCTCTTCCTCCACATTACGACTGGGGTCTCGAGATGACAGGGACAGGGAATCCTCCTGACTCTTAGGAAATTTCACTCCGCTTCTCCTGCTCAATGGTCTCTTTGGTCGGCAGGGTCTTCTTCTCCTGCGTCTCGGTTTTCTTCAGCTTGGCCTTATCAAGGCTGGTGATTTCCCCCATGTCCGGTTTGTCTGCCATTTTCTTAAAACAATCCTTGGCGTCCCACTCCGAGCCCAGGGTGCTGGTGCTCCCACTCCAGTTGCTGCAGCAAGAGACCTACACTCTCTACTTAATAGATCCGACATGTACCCTTGCTGATTTTTCTTATGTTTAATAGAGATGGGGAAGCTTGCTCTTACTCAGGCTGGTTTCGAACTCCTGAACTCAAGGGATCCTCCTTGAGTGCCAGGATTACAGATATGAGCCAGTGCATGTGGCCTCCCTTCCTTTCTTGTTTTCTGAGTAGGCTTTGTGTTTGCAGGCAGACTTTCCACAGGTGCTATTTGTGTTTTTGATGGGTTTCACATAGATTCTGTGGTCAAGTCTGCCTTCTGGGTTCTATCTTGTAAGGTACCTGGGCTCAGCTGGGTCTAGGTTCATTTGCGTGACAGAGCCAGGATGGTCTTTCCTTGCCATGTATTTTGTGGTAAAGAATCAATGGAATAGGCTTGGCGCCTGTGGCTCATGTGGCTAAGGCACTAGCCATACACACCTAAGGTGGCAGGTTCGAATCCAGCCCTGGCCCGCCAAACAACAATGACGGCTGCAACCAAAAAATAGCCAGGCATTCTGGTGGGCACCTGTGGTCCCAGCTACTTGGAAGGCTGAGGTAGGAGACTCGCTTGAACCCAGGAGTTGGAGGTTGCTGTGAGCTGTGATGCCATGGCACTCTACCCAGGGGGACAGCTTGAGGCTCTGTCTCAAAAAAA